TTGTTAATTACACTAATTAATAAAGGACTGTATTAAAATGTGAGCTATGGAAGACCTAGTTAGAATGTGGACCGACTAAGTGTGTGCCGTAAGCACATAAGTGAGGAACTTCTGAAAGGGATGGTTTTTGCTGCCTTAATTTCGGGGTTGCTCTGAGCATTCAAGATTCCTGACGTAAGTCTGGGGGAGGTGGGTGGGCAGGAAGGAATGCTGCACCTCCGCAGGCTTTGTACTCTCCATTTAGCAACGTACAGCTAAGAAGTCTGAGAGCCAGCGCAAAAAGGAGACCCTGTATCCTCCTACACATAAGGCCACAGCCTAGGTGAGACTAGTCAATCTCCCAGATGTAAGAAGAAAGGCAGAAGATGTCATCTTTACAGCCTACTTTAATTCATAAATGTTTATTTGCTCTATATGCTATCAGTGTGTTTATTTTTCATTTTAGTATTTTAGGGAAGGGTCTACAGGGTGTTCAGGGTCTCACTACTAGATCGGACTCATAGTGATCTGACGGTTTACAGCCTCCCAAGAGCTGGGATTACAGGCACGTGCCACCACACCCAGTCTCAACTGCCATTTCAGCATGTCCGGGGAGCGCGGGGGCGGGGCTGGCACGGCAGGCCTGGTGATCAAGCCTCCAGCCCCTGCACCTCCTTGCAAGTGTGTTTATTTTAATAATCCTAGAATTCATAGTTTGGCTCAAAGATTACTTCCTCAAAATTTTCCCAAATTGCCTGACCAGGTTAAATCATACCTTCCCAAAACAAATTAGACTTTTACATTTTGGGAAATGATTTGAGTAATCTGTCAAATTTCTCCAACACCGTAGGGCTCAAGCTCTCTGAGAACAGGCATTGGATCTGGTTTTGCTCCCACATGTTCCCAGGGCTTTGTACAGAGCCACACAGGTACTATTTATTTTTATTTTTAATATATTTAGTACTGTGTCTACAGGGTCTCACTACACAGATCAGACTCATAGTGATCCTCATGCTTTTAGCCTCCAAAGCGCTGGGACTACATGTATGTGCCACCATGCCCAGTCTCAGTCACTGTCTCTGTGTGCCCCAGGGGCGAGGCCAGCACACCACCCATGCTGGGGATCGAACCCTGGTCCCTGCGTCTAAGCAGGCGCTTTAATCCGCTGAGCTATCTGGCTGGCCCCCACAGAGGTAGTACTTTAAAAGATAGGGCAGAGCTGAGAAGAGAATGATCACAGAAGCCAGGTGCATTGGCTGGCACTGAAAGGTGACAGGAACAGAAACCACCTCATACAAGGTGAGAAGTCTAACATAGATGTTCTGTACAATAAAGTGATACCCAATGGCTAGTGATGACAGCTGGAAAAGAACTGTCTCTTATGAAGACTTCCATCTGGGATTAGATTGGCGTTTTGGAGAACCTGAAGCCATGATCTTGATTTATCTAACCAGTGTAAATAGCAAAAGCAAAAAACAAGGCCTTGTATTATTTATACCAATGATTATTCAAGTATCATGACCAACAAATAAAGATAACCGCAAGGAAACAGTATTGTGCGCTTAATCCAGCAGGAACAACAGACAACAAAAATAGACTCCCAAATCCAGGTGTTAAGTTTGTCAGAAAGTCCAGTATGCTTTGAAAATTGGAAATACACTGCTCTGCTGCTTTATAATAGGAACCAGAATGTACTTTAAGATAGAGAACAATGAAAATATTTTATGCTAAAACTTATGATAATGTGATGCAGCCACTTTGAAAAGTAGTTTGGCAGTTTCTCAAAAAGTTAAACACCTTCTGACCCAACAATTCCATTCTTAGGCATGAATCTAAGTGAACTGGAAACCCATTCACACAAATATTTATACAGCATTATTCATAACAGCAAAAGTGTAAATAACCTGAATATCCACCAACTAATGAACAAAAGATAGTGTATCTATACAACATGTTATTCAGCTATAAAAGATTTGCAGAAATACATGGCATATCATGGATGAGCCTCAACAATATTAAGCAAAATGGAAGAAGCCAGATAAAAAAAGCCACCTGATTCCATTTCTATGAAATATTCAAAGTAGATAAAGGCACGGAGGGAGAAATTTGTGATTCCCAGGGACTTAGAGGAAGGGGAGATGGTCAGTGGCCGCTAACAGCAGCAGGTGACTTCTGTGGTGATGAAAATGTTTCACACAGAGGTGATGGCTGACCAATCTTGTAAATATGGTATACTAAAACCCTCCAAATTGTACGTCATAAAGGGTACATTTCATGGTATATGGTTTGTATCTCCATTTAAAAAAAACTTTGTGGGATATAGCCATGTAAAAGAAAATGAGGTTTTATTTTTATTTTTGTATTTTAGGGAAGGGCCTACAGGGTGTTCAGAGTCTCACTACTAGTTCGGACTCGTACTGATCCACCTGTTTACAACCTCCCAAGAGCTGGGATTACAGGAGCGCACCATCATGCCCAGTCAGCGTCTCAGCGCGACCCAGGGGTGGGGCTGGCATGACAGGCCTGGGGATCAAACTCCCAGCCCCTGTTCCTGCTTGCAGGTGCTTTAATCCGCTGAGCTATTTGGCTGGCCTCGAAAATGTGGTTTTAAATGAATATATTCAACTGTTCTAGTTTGCTAATAAAATATGCTCTAGTTAACTCGCCAGAATTCTGTATTGATTTGCTTATTTTTCTCACTAGTAAAGAAATGCTTAAAATAATCTGCAACAAACATGAATCCATGAAAATAGAGCAGATGTTAAGAGAACACAGAATTCTGGAAATAAAAAAAAATAACTAAAAACCTGACAGTGATTTAAGAAAAAGACTAGACACAGCTGGAGAGCGAACTGGTTAGTAGAAAGGTAGACAGGAAAACAGCAGCCCTTATTCACATGACATGTTGAAGAGCAGAGTGTCATGTCTGTCACTTTCAAATGACTCAGGGAAATATATCTGGATGTACAGGATGTGTATGCAGACACAAACACGTTTAGTGAGGGAGGGAGGTGAAGCAACCGTGGACAGAAGTTACTAGCTGCTCAATCTGTGGGAAGGGCCCATGGCGTTTGATGCCTGCTGCCCACCCCCGGTGCACCTCGCTGCTGAGTGCTCCCTTGGTGCTGGCTCACCTGTGCCCGCTCTCGGGCTCCTCCACTTCTTGCTCATCTCACAGCCTGTGAAGGCAGAAGGTTTGGGCCTTAGCTTCCTTCCACGATCACCCTCATTCTGGTGGAGATTTCATTCAGTCGCAGGCCTTCAATGACCAGGTACTGTCTCTCAGCCTTCACTCCAATCCAGACCTCTTTTTAAAACTCAACTGTCACATCTAAGTGTGTAATTAACATCTCCACTTGGTCATCTAATAGACCTTAAATTTAACAAATCCAAAAAGGAACTCAAAAGTTTTTCTACCTGCATCCTTCCTCAACTCAGTTGATGGCAACTTCATCTTGAATTTCATTTGCTTAGTCCAGTACCTCAAGTTCATCCTCAAGTCCTCTCTTTCAAGTATTTTTTCAACCCACCAGGGAGCCTCTAAACCAACTCCCATTTCTGGCCTCTACGATGCCACCCCTGCTCTGAGCTACCACTAGCTCTTACCTGCGACAGCTTTCTACGTGGCTTACCTGCCTCATCCCATGTCCCTGTACCACACTTCTGCCAAAGCCAGAGTGATCATTTAGAATCTAAGTCCACTATGTCATTTTGTACCCAAATCCACCATAATTTCCAGTTCAGAGTAGAATCTAATCAGCCACACTCACCTCCCTGCCATTTCTAAAAAAAAAAAAAAAAAAGCCAAATGTTCTCTTTTTTGTCCACTGACAGTTCTGTCTATCTCCTAGACAAGACTGTAAGATGAAAACCAGTTTCACTTTGTCAGGGAAAAGGACTCGGGCATCAGTCTATTTTTAAAATGTTCCACATTTCTTCAAAATAATCAGGGATTATTTTAGCCTTGAGTTGGTCACTGTTGATGGGAACATGGAGCCTGTTGAACGATTCTCTCAAACAAATATAAAACAAAATGAAAGCTTCTATGGTGATTCTAGTGTTTAGCTGGGTTGGGAATCACTGGCTGTAATCCCCAAACTAGGTCATTTTGCCCACAAATAATCAAAATATTTCTATTTGAAAGACTATCTTAGCAAATTAAAAAGATACACATAAGTTGAAAAAAATTTATTTTTAAAATAGAAGGAAAAAGTATACATTTGAATTCACTTTACAAAGTATGCTAACAATAAAAACATACGTCCCATGTCCTACTTATTTCAACTTAATGATCAACACCATGACATCTGAAAGGAAAAGATTTCTGGCATTGTTTTGCAGAATCTGAAACTTTCAAGAGAGCACATGAAACCAACGCTCCAAACTCAAAGCACCTCGGTCAAGGCAGAGGCTTGTTAACACTGAGGCTCCAGACAGTGGAAAAAGAAAGGGCTTCTCGCTGTTCACATACCCAACAGCTCTCAAAGAGCTGTTTGCAGCTTGAAGGCCTGGCTCATCTTTCACTAATGTTTAACACCATTTGTTACTAATACAAAGCATGGAAGAATGAAATTCTGCTCAGTTTCAAGTGAACTAACATACAAATTGGAAATTATCAAAGGTGACTTCTCTTTGGAAAATAAACTATGCAAATGAATTTACTGGTTTGATATTCCTCATGCTGGCGAATGAACCCAGGGCCTTGGCATTGAATTATTATCTCCAGCCCCTTTTAATCTTTAAATTCTGAGACAGGGTTCCACTGAGTCATCTAAGGTGGTCTTGAACTTGTGATCCTCCTGTCTCAGCCTCCCAGAGTGCTGGGTTTACAGGTGTGCCCACCATGCCTGGCTGAAAGATACTTGCTAATAAACCTGTCAAGAAAAATCATACCACCACCCTTCCCCCATAGTAAGGAGAATCTATAAAATGTTAACTTCCTAAGTGTTTTCCAGAGTGGAAACACATGAATTCTATCAAAATGACTATTGAGACTGTTAGATTTGATTGGACTGAGAAGTCTACAAGGGTTTGCTGACCTGCAGGCTGCTCCCACTCATGCTTACCAGGTGGCTGTTGATGACACTGAGCTCCTGTATCACTGTGCTCAGATCTTCATGGAGTCTTATGATTGCACTTTTCACCTCCCCTAAAAGTACTTTAACGGAGCTATTTGTGTCATCAGGTTCCCTAGGCAGGTTTACTTTGGTTGGCTGAAAATCAGAGCAGGAGGGAATGCTGTCTACATTTTGGGTGGGAAAAGCTACCCAGTTACTACTGGAAATATGACTCATCTGATTTTTAACAGAATCAGAACTATCTGGAAGCATTTCCAGCAGGTTGAGATTGTCATCTTCCTCTTCATCAGAAGACATCAGGCCCCTAGGCGTGAAGGGGTGGTGGGCCCTGGTGGTCTTATCTTCATGTTTAATGAAAGTAGAAGACCACTGTGGATGTGGCAGAGCCCACAAGGAAGGCTGGGGCAGGTCTACGGAGAAGTGGAGAACTGGCTTCTCCGGAGGGGCTGCATCAGGAGGTGACACGGAGGAAGCAGAAAAGGACGATGTTCTCTCAGAGGTAGTTGAAACTAAAATACATAAATGAGAGAGAAAGATTTATGTAACATACAAATGAGAGTAATAGAATAATTTAATGTAAAAGTCTATCTGGAAGGTCTCAATATAAACTACTTAGAATTTTAAATGTTAAATATTCATAATAAGCCTTAAAAAATCCAAAGCAGGGAACTGAGAAAATCTACAGATGTATTATATATCAATAATACCATGGAAATGAACCTAAAATAGGATTATCAATATTCATCTTGACTTCCAAACCCTGCCCAAACATATTTTTACACTACTGTAAACTACATCAGAGAGAAAAGTATTAAACTCCATTCTACTGACTGCCAGCACTGTAAGTTTTGGTATTTAAAGTAGACAGTCTGAGAAACCTGTAACTTAGTCTTTCACCCCCCCATTAGATGACGACGACAAAATAAATGACCAACTAATGAGATTAGTGAAATCAGTCTTTTCCTCTTTGTGGTCAAATACAGTCAAAGCTGGAGTCCAACCCAGCTGAAGTTCAGAACACTTTAGCACTCACATGGAATCATTTTTCTTACCAATAAACTGCAACATAAAAAGCATTCTAAATCTGTTTTCTGTAAATTTAAAGATTTGAGAAAAAATCTTTTTCAGGCAAAATCACATTAAATGTCTTTTTTTCACACTTCATTCTAAATCATGATTCCCAAAACGCTTCGGAGGAACAGTGTGTTAAGATGTTAAATGTTTTTGTGAAACAGGGCTTTGTGGTCAAGTAAGACTGGGAAAATGGCACACTGCGCCACGTGTCAGGACTTTAACTGGTCTATTAGCACACTTAAAATTCTGAGAAACTGATAGTATCCTATCAGGTGATAAACATCCTTCTTTCTTTTAATGTCCTTGGGTTGTCACAGGGTCTCACTGTGCAGCTGAGACTCACAGTGATCCTCCCCAGCGCTGGGAATACAGACGGGTGCCACCACGTCTGGACTCTGCGGCCAGCTTGGCGCACCTTGGGTGCGGGCCTGGCCTGGCCTATGGTGCCGGAGATCTAACCGCAGTCTCTGTGCTTGCCTAAGCAGACACTTTAGTCCACTGAACTCTTGTTGGCCTGGTGATAAACGTTTTTTTTTTTTGTTGTTGTTGTTGTTTGGCAGAACTGGGGACTGAACTCAGGCCCTTGTGCTTGCCAGGGAAGCGCTTATTCTATTGAGCCATCTCACTGGCCCCTAAACGGCCTTTTAAAACATTTTAGAACATTTTTTTTCCTTAGTGGAATATCTATTTGCATTTGTTTGTGGACAGACTGAAAAAACTGGTCAAAGCCAGTTCCCTAATCTCTGGACTTCATCTAAACTTGGTACTTTAGCCAGACCTCCTCATTGCAAGTCAGAGAACAGGAAAACTGATGCTTCCTCCTTAGCAAGCAAGACTTATCTGTATCGTGTTTTGTTCTAAATCTTCCTGTCCCTTCTAAATTGGAACTTTGATAAAAATATGGCCAGGGTATGTGGCCACTTTCTATTTTTTGCCTGTGAGTGCCCTGTGTGGCCCACCCCCAGTTTTCAGGAAAAATTCTAATCACAAACTTTTTTGAGGATGAAATAATTATTCTAAGCTGGTGCAGCAGCAGGACATGAAAGGGAAAGCAGGAACTTCATTGCACGTGGTCAAGATAAGCCAAGCACACGGCAGGATGTGGGTCAGGCAAATCGGGATACCCTATCATTGGATTAAACAGATGCTATAATGTTAGTGGGCACGCTGCAGAGGAAAGCCTTGCATATTCGTGTCCCAAGTGACACTGCTGCACTCTACCTTGCTGTGCCTGGGTGTCATCTACACGTCCCTTCCCTACCCTCTGCAGCAAGGTCTCTATCTTCTCTATCATCAGTGTCCTTCTGCTTGTTTCTCTCACACTTGGGTTAACACATCTGCCAGGTGGTCAATGAAAAGGATGAATACAAGGTAAAGGTTTAGACCTTTGTGTCTGAAAATGGACTCTACTTTTAGGCTTAATGATAGATTGGCTGGATAAATAATTCTAGGCAGATATTATGTTCTTTCAGGATTTCGAAGGTCACACTTTACCCTCTTCTCACTTCCAGTATTCAAGAGTTGGCATTATATTAATTCTTATTAAGTGTATATACCGTGTTGCCTCTGAAGCTTTGGAGAACTTCCTCTTTGGCCCTGGTGTTCTGCAGCTTCTGAATGCTGTGCCTTAAACTAGGATGAATTTCATTCACTTAGGTCATTGAAAGCAGAACTTTCAAATAGGCAACTCATTTCCTTCAAACATTTCTCAAAGGATTCAATCATTTTTCTCTTCCTGAACCTTCTCTTATCCAAGTCTTAGATCTAGTGGACTAATCTTCGAATTTCCTATATGTCCCCCTATTGTTCCTACCTGTGTCTCTTGTGCTCTACTTTGTTGGAGATTTTGTCAACTTTTGCTTCCAATTCTACCACCGAGTTTCTCATTTCTGCTACTGTAAATTTTAACTTCCAAGTACTTTTCTGTTGTTCTCAGAAATTCTTCTTGCAACATCCTGTTCTTGTTTTTTGGTTACACTGAATTTTCTTATCTCTTTGAGGATAGTAAAGATGAGTTGTTTCAAGGTTTTTTTCCCCTTCATAGTGTAACCTGTTTTCTCCAAATTATTTTGTTTTGCCTCACTAGTCTATAGGTTTTTTTTTTTTTTAGATGTCTGGTACTCCATGTCTGCTTACTATTAAGAATGGGATGAAAAAGCTGAAGAGAAGCTTGGAATGTGAGTGTGGGGCTTGCCATCTTTGAGGCTCAGTGCATAGTCATTCAGGTGGGTTGTTACTGAGCTACCTATAGGAATAGCTCCGTTTTTTCCCCCCATGAAGCAGTTCAAATTCTTACAGGAACAATTTGCTGTTACCTGCTTAGTAGGCAAAGGTCTGGCTGCCAAGGTGGTTGGAAACCAATAGTGAAAGGGGGCTACCCGCCTAGCCTGTGGTCTGGGTAATGGCCACCTCTTCCTGGAGTCTGGATTATGGCACCCACCTCAATGATCTCTAACATCTCTCATTTCTGAAACCCTCCGTCTACTCTCTCCAGAAAATAATCTCCAGATTCCATCTGGGCCCAGGCAGGTGATGGGTATTTAGGGTAACTATTCAGCTCCCTGGCAGGGCAAAGTCTAAGGATTTAAGTGCTTTTCAAATAGCTGTTTTCTAATTCTATTTAGTATCTGCTGTAGATGTGGCTTGTCCCTCACAGTTCATAAGTTGGTAGACTGGTCCCCAGAATGGCAATGTGAAGAGATGGTGGAACCTTTAAGTGGTGAGGCCCAGGGGAAGATGCTGCCTTCAGAAGGGACTAATGCCCTCCTCACAGAAGCCAGGTTAATTGCCATAGGATTGAGCAGCTATGAAATAGCAAGTCTGAGCCAGAACCTGTCAGTGGCCTCTTGTCTCACTCTACTCCCACCATGATGCTATCTACTGTGTTGTGAGGCAGCCAAGAAGGTGCTTGTCAGGACTGAACAGATGCAGATGCCATGCTATCAAATATTCAAAACTGTGAGCTAAACAAACCCCTTTTATTGATAAAGTACCTAGCCTCAATGTATTTTGTTATAGCAACAGAACACTGATCAAGACAGCACCAGATATGGAGGTTTTATAACCTCAATGTAAATATGAGGCCAAAGGATCTCAAAGAAGCTAGAAATCTTTCCCAAGACCATAATGCTAAACAGGAAGACAGAGGATTCAAATTCACGTATTTCCAGTGACAAAGCATGCATATGATCTTAACTACTAGACTCTATCTCTACAACACTATTTAACTATCCTAAAATTATTTTTACTTATTACAGAATTATGTAAAATTCTCAATACAAAGAAGGCGGGCAAACAAGGATAGTGTGGGGACCTGACATCTTATCTATAATGAGTGGTGACAGGCATTAGTTAATCTTTGTCCCAAAAAAGGATGGTGGAAGAATGAAAGGCCACATTTAATTATCTGAAGATAGTTATAAAATCTTGGTAGTAATATAATTTCTCTTACTGTGCATGAGTTAGAACAGTGATCAATAGATGAAAGTTTTAGAAAAACATCTGTCTGCCCAATTCACAAAGGAGAGCTTTCTAACAGTTATTTATTTTTTATTTATTCATTTATTTATTTTTATGGTGCAGGGGATTGAACTCAGGACCTTGAGCTTCCCAGGCAAGTGCTTATTCTACTGAGCCTTCTCCCCAGCCCCAGTTATGATTTTCAACATATGAAGCATGCTGTTTTGGGAAATGGAGACTTTGACTCACAGAACTCAAATACAGCTTAAATGACTGGCAGGAAGGCTTCCTGAATAAGGCAGCAGAATCATGTTTCCATGAGACTCCAAGAGTCTAGGACCCCAGATGTACTTGCTAGAAACGACCCTAGAAACAGGAAACTACCCTAGAAATAGAATGTGAGTTTGCTTGGTCAGAAAGGAAGATTTAATATGAAACAATTAAGTAGATCAAGAAGTAGTATTTGAGTTAAATGTTAACATGGTGTTATCACACACACAAAGACAATACAGTTATGTTAGACACACATGATGTGACTGAAAATTCCAGGATTCACTTTATGCCACTAGTTCATGCTACACATGAGAAATGAGGTTCTTAGACCACACCCCAGGCCTACTGAAAAGTAAACTGGGGGCTGGGCCCAGGAAACTGAGTTTCAACAAGACTCCAGGCCTTCCATGAGGTCTGCCGAAGCCGGAGAACCACTGCTCCTACTCTGTCCACCTTTTTGCACTGTGGCTACCGCTGCTAGCTCCACAGCTTCCCCTTGTTTGCAGTTCTGAAGCCTGAGCAATGCTGCGTCACGCCCCTGCTCATGAAAGGCATCACTGCGAACTGTGCACACTGGCTGACTTCTGTTTCCAAACACCCCAAAGCTGCACCTACACTTGAGCTGCTCTTTAGGGCACACCTCTGCACCTGTTTGGGTCCCCTTTTCTGTCTCACTACAGAAGTGGTCTGGGCATCCTATTAA